GCTTCCAAGAAGTGTTCCGGCTGCACTGCTTCCAACACAGATCTGTTTGGTCTTTTGGCAGTCCATGGTCCTTTCAATATTCTTCTCCAACACCATAACTGAAATGCATTAGTTCTTCTACAGTTTTCCTTATTCACTGTCCAAATTGCATGCATATGAGGTTATTGAAAATACTACGACTTGGGTCAGTCGCACCTTAGTCTTTAAACTGATAGTGTACAGCAGATTTGCCTAATCCTACCAGGTAGCGTAGTGGTTACGAATCGGGCTGCGAACCTTAAGGTCAGCAGTTCGAAACTAACAGCTGCTCCACGGGAGAAAGATGAGGCTTTCTACTCCCGTAAAGATTTACACCCTCGGAAACCCTATACAGGGTCACTATGGGTCGGAACCGACTCCATAGCACATAACAACAACATAACAACCAGGATTAGGTAGGGAGACATGGGTGTCGAAGAAGGGATTTCATTTTAAATGTACTTCATTATATTTAATATTTTTCAGAATTTCTGAGTTTATGCTTCAAGTTGAATTGGAGTCAGCGATCCCATAAGAACCCTAATTATCTGTGTTGTCTTAGCCTGGTTGCTGTTGGATAAGTACCGTAGAGTCGACTCTGACTCATAGCAACCCTATAGGGTTTCCGAGGAGTGGCTGGTGGGTTTGAACTTGTGGCTCATAGTCCAGAACTGATCCTTCAGTGCCACACCAAGAGTCTGTCTTAGCCTGGGAGTTGAATGTATGAAATGATATGTAATTGGTAGTGTTCCTGTACAGGCATGCCTACACATGACTTTGTAGAATTGAGAAAAACAAAAACAATACTTCACTCTGCAATTTGCATTTGTTTAGGAAAAAATGTCAGGAAACAGCTTGACCATTGGCAAAACTGCAATGAGATCAGCGAGACATAAAGTTGGAATATAATGGGTGAAATGTATCACACACACACCCTATGTAAAGATAAAGCCGTTTTATAAACCTATAAGCAGAATGTGGAGGTGTAGAATAAGCAGTGGACTACTAACCACGAGGCAAGTGGTTTAAACTTACAGCTACTCTTGGAAGCTCTTTAGAGGGTGAATATGAGTTGGAACTGACTTGATGGCACATAACAACACCAACAATAACAACAGGATACAATATAAAGCATTGGAGTCTATTGTGGAGATTAGGTAGGGTCCTAGTAAAGGACTTGTGGCTAAGCACATAGGGAGTTACAGAGCGAGGCAGATGGACATCTGGCAGGTAGAGAGGGTAGATGGGTATAGATATGCTAGGGAGCAGGGAGAGGGGAAATGTTACCATTGTCAAGTCTGTTTCACTGAAGGTGGCTCTTTTGTGGACTCTGGAGAAGATGAGGGACTTTGTGCACTAGAACCTGTTTCAGTTCTGCATCCCAAACCTCAGGACTGAGCCTCTGCAGGGAAATGTTGATTTCTCAGGTTTCTGCCCTCTTGTGTCATTGGGGGGTTGCTATGAGTCGGGACCAACTCCATGGCACATAACCACCACCACAGCTATAGAACAGCTGCAGCCGGGGAGGGGCCCAACTCAGAAGAGTGGGTCAGAAAGCTACATCTCTTTGCTCCATCACTTTCCATTTTCACTGAACTTGTTGCTGGCTGGCTGGTTGGATGGCTTGATTTGTCAATAGACAATCTTGGGGAAGCCAGGATAAAGTACCTTCTGATCCCCCAGTCTGCTGCTGCTTTTTAACCAGGACCTAAGAAACGGCATTATGTTGAAGAGATGAGATGTGAAAGGACTGTCTTGGAACTTGGGCAGGATAAAAAACTCTCACCTATTCTTGCTGTGCAGTATAGGAGTTATATTGCTTCATGTTTACTACCTGCATCTTTTACAGAAGACAAAGCGTTGCCATCGAGTGGATCACACTCGTAGTGACTGTGTAGGACAGGGTAGAGCTACCCCATGAAATTACCTAAGAGTGTCAGTCTTTGTGGAAGCAGCCAGCCTCATCTTTCTCCCGTGGAATGACTGGTGGGTTTGAACTGCTGACGTTGCAGTTAGCAGCCCAATGCTTAGCCCACTGCACCACGAGGGCTCCTCTTTTTAGCTATGTTGTTGTTAACTGCTGTCAAGTATGGCATTTCCAAGGAGCGGCTGGTAAGTTTGAACCACCAACGCTGCGGTTCAAACCAACCTTGTAGTCCAGTGCTTATCCTATAGTGTCATCGAGTTGATCTTGACTTATAGCGATCCTATAGAATAGAGTAGAACTGCTCCATAGGGTTTCAGAGACACTAAGTTTTTATGGGATCCCTGGTGTAGCACTGTAGGATAAGCACTGGACTGCTAACCACAAGGTCGGCAGTTGACATCCACCAGCCACTCCTTAGAAACCCCATGAGTTGGAACCGACCAAACAGCACTTAACAACAACAACAACAACAACAACAACAAATCTTTATGGGAGCAGACAGCCTCCTCTTTCTTCTGCAGAGCAGCTGGTGGATTTGAATCGTTGTCCTTTCAGTTAACAATCCAACAATCAGCTATAGAGGCGCTGGATTTTGACTTCTTTACGTCCACATCTATAAATATAGGTGATTCGTCTCCTTGTCCTTCTCAGCTCTAGTCCTTTTTCATTTTGCCCCTAGTTTCTTCCACTGACTGTGCACTGAAAGGCCGGTAGTTGGAATTCACCAGCTATTCCATGGAGAAAGATGAGACTGTGTTTCTGCGATGATTTACAGCCTTGGGCAGGAGGTTTGGTTTTCGAATTTTCTCATGTTGGAGGCAATCCAGTATTGATTGATAGCTACTATTTGACTTTCAGACTTATCCCTTCTGCAGCTATCACTTCCTCTCATTGAAGTCTCATAAATTTGATTACGACTCTAAATAACCCATTTTTGATTAATGTCAACTGCTCATGTAACTCTAATGCCCATGCAATACTATAGAAAAGTGAGAGAGCAGAAGTAGTTATATAATACTGCCGTCAGTACGTTCATGTCTCATGAATAGGGAGGGTGCTTAGATTGCATACTTAGAAATTTCCCTGTGACATTGAGTAAGTTATATGCATGCCAACTTCACCCATTCAGACACATCTTTGTATGGTATAAGTGTCAGCGCACTTCCAGTGAGTCCCATTCTCCATTTGTCTCAGGTGTGCCACCAAGCAGGAACAAAACAAAACAAAACCGAAACCATCATTTTAATTCTATAGTCTTTCCTGGTCTCAAAAACACTTTTAAAGTGTTTCGAGTAATGCTGTTTTCAGTTCATAATGTCTGCCATTGTGTTTAGATGAACACTGGCCAGCGGTACTAGATACGGACAAGAAGGTTTGTCAGACAGCCCTGAGACTTGCGGAAACAATGATAATTTTATAATGTAAATCTGAGTTTATCTGTGCCCTCTGGACTTGATTTGATGGGGCAAGGGTAGGGGACATATTTCAGCTAGTTATTATTACTAGATTCTTGGAGCCATTGCTTAATAAGTGGGCTAAGTGTGTTATGCAGGTCTTACCAAATCACCTGATTTCTCTCCATGAGACTTCCCCATGTATTTTTTGGCTTCCCAGTTAAATGTTTAAACATAACTGAAGTTTGCTTGATTAACACAAGGATGGACTGTAATAAAGAAATGCTCAGAGAATGTTGGCACACTGAAGAAATGTGAATAATCCTAGCCTCCGCAGACTCTATTTGACTGGAGAGGGAGGAATGTTCTAGAGTATGGATCATAAAAATGGTTTTGAATCTGAACTCTACCTAGAAGTATATCTGCAGCCTGAAGCTTCCCAGGCCTCTTCCTTTGTAGATTTCAGCAAAGCAGACAGATTAGGGAGAAAGGCCTGGGAGTCTACTTCAGAAAAAGCAGCCAGTGGAAACCCACGGATCACAACAGTCCTGTTCTGGTGTGCATGGGGTTGCCATGATTTGGGGCTAACTTGATGGCAGTTTATCACTACTACTGTTATAAAAGGGTTTTGTTGTTAAGTGTTGTCGAGCTGGTTCTGTTTCTTAAGGACCCTGTATAGGGTTTCCAAAGAGCAGCTGGTGAGTTTGAACTGCCGACCTTGCAGTTAACAGTTCAGCGCTTATCCTATAGTGTCACACCAGAACTCCATAAAAGGGTTTGCAAATTAAACTAAATGGGACGATGATTTTGATTACTAGGGTGTCCTGGATGTGAGTAAGACCTAATCCAGACAGCAATTTGAAAAACAAAACTAAAGAGGTACACACAAAGGAGGCTGTGAACCATGGCTCCTGCAGTCTGGGGCCTAAAGGAAGAGTCTTTGGAGGCCAACTGTTTTTACAGGCAGCCTCAACTAACTTTCTAGTCTCGAGAGTGTTGGGACAGGTCTCCCAAAGAACAAAAGTGATTAATCGTGGAGCCAGAGGCAACAAAGGATAAACACAAGAGGAGACTGGGAAGCTAGTCTAAAAAAACAAACCCACAGAATTATACCATGCCTGTAAGTGATGCAAAGTCAGGTAAACTTCAAGGTAAAGTCTGTGTATCTTGGTCTGCTGTAGAAAGGTCTAGGAGAGGCCAGAGACTGAAAGACAATAGAAGAGACATCCAAGGTGGTATCTCTCGAGCCCATGAGTATGTCTGTGTGAAATAGCAACTGCCACAGGTATTTTAAGATTGTTTTTGTGATTCTTTTGTTCTTTTTGTAATCCTTATTTCTCTATTGCAGTAATAACCTCTTTTTTTAAAAAATGTGATTGGTTGTAAATGTGTCTAAAACAACAGTAGGAAAGGCATTGTCATTCAATATTGTTGTTATCGTTAACTGCCATCAAGTAGGTTCTAACTCATAGCGACCCTGCATAGGGTTTCCAGGGAGCAGCTGGTGAGTTTCAACCGCCAATCTTGTGGTTCAAACTGACCTTGAAATCCAGCGCTTTATCCCACAATGCTAAAACTCCTGGTAGATTAGATTGGTATAACCTTTTCCAGGTATGGAATTTTGAATGGAATATAATAGTTGCTATCTTTTTCTCTTTCAGCTGAAGTGAGTAGTGAATACAGTATGGACAAGGCGATGATTGAATTTGTTATGCTGGACCGGGAACTAAACCATTACATAAAGGCTGTCCAGTCTGCAATAAACCATGTAAGTTTAATAGCTACGTTGGTTCATACTCACTCACTGACCTAGAAATGTGAGCACAAAATAAAAAGTCTTCTCTAACTTTTGACTATTTCCTTATCCTTACTGTAGCAGTGGTTAATTTCCTTTCAACCAGGAAGTCTCATAGAACAGGAATTTAAAACATTTTCCCAGCTAGGCCACCTAGCTTAATTAGGGTATTAAATGTATTTTTAGAATTTTTTTGTCTTGTCTTGGATTTTTTTTTTTTTGTCTAAGCATCCTTGGAATATAAATAAATTGTTTATAAGATGGTAAAAATTGTATTTGATTTGTTATTGTTGTGTCTGCTTAAGCAGATACGATTCAGACCTGGTTCAGTTACTCAGTCTCCAGTTTTAACGACTTCAGTCATTGCAAAATTCATGCAGTAAGATAATGTGAAAGAATTTAAGAGCAAGCTTTAAAAAAAGAAGGTTGGCATTTTGGTTTTTCCAGGAGCCAGCCGTATCTGTGTTGAGTCCAGCAGCATGAGGCAGTTAAGGTGGGAACCTAGCAACATCCTTTTCAGTACTGGTTGAGTAAGAAGTGAGCAATCGGATTGCAGTAATGTTTCTGAGAAGTCCTTTGTCCTCTGAGCAGTGGAAACTCCCTAGTGAACTGATTTTAGTATACCTGTGTAATAGGGTGTTCCTCTGCTTTTGGTTTCTTTATTTGTTTTTTCATACGTGTAGCTATGGGAAAATTCCAAATATTAGCTATTTTCCAAGATTGACTACACTATGAGTATTTAAATATCATTCCGTAATTACGCCAATTAAAACTGTATTGCATACTTATATGACATTTTTCTTTTTTTTATGTTGCATTTTTATTAAGTATAGGAGTTCCTGGGTGGCACAAACAGTTAAACACTCAACTACTAGCTAACAGGTACTTTGTATTGTCTTTGGCCTCCTGCCGTACTAGAATTCAAGACTCCTGCTGTGGCACTACAGTATAAGCACTGGACTTCTAACCATGAGGTTGGTGGTTCAAACCCACCATCTGCTCCTAGGAAACCCTATACAGGGTCATTATGAGTTGGAATTGACTTGACAGCGCTTAATAACAACAAGTAGAATTTAGGGGAAGTGCAGTGGTTCTATAATATAAGCACTGGACTGCAAACCAGAAGTTCAATGGTTCGAGTCCTGCAAAGATTTTATAGCTTTGGAACCCTGTACAGGGTCGCTATGGTTAGAACCAACTCAGTGACACTTAACAACAGCAACTACAATTCAGGAATCATTTAGGAGTTAGGGTTAAGCTCGTCAAGTAGCAGTGCGAGGTGTTCCTGGCCTCTAAAAAGAAGAGTGTTTTAAGTCAGATGAATGAGAAAGCCGGTAGGTAATGGAAACACGTATCTGTCCCACGTTACCTTCTGCTCTGTCATAGACTTTTAGAAATGTCAGTGCTTCTGTTACTATGATATCTGCCCAGATTTGGGTTCACATTCCTGAAGTTAATTTCAAACTATCTGTGCTCTTTCTTTTTCTGGATTTTCACAATCACAGAAAGGTTATTTAAAAAAAAAAAAAAGAAAGAAAGAAAACAACTTTAACCATTAAAGAACTGTCTGGCTTATTTTTGAAAGAAACTTCTCCCTTCCTCTCCTACCATCACAGGATTCTGAAGTTATACACCTCAGAAAAGGTTTTAATGTTTATTTTGGACCCTTAGAGGTTTAAATTGAGTTACCAACAGATAGATCCCTGAGCATTCTCTTTGACATTTCGGATAGCTCTCAGATATCTTTCTTTGTCTGAATATTTTACTTAGACTCAGCATCTATTTCAGTGCTCTGAAACAAACAAACGAAAGTGAGGACTTTGTTTCAGCTCCTCTGTTAGAGGGACTATATTATACAGTGAGCGCTAAAAAATACCAGGTAACCTAACTGTCATCATAAAAACTTTTAGGATAAATGGGTTTTATGATCGCTGCCACAACTCAAAAAACTTGTCCTAGTGCCTCAAGAGGAACTCTGGTAGTGTAGTGGTTACAAGTCTGGCTGCGAACTTCAAGGTCATTAGTTCAAAACTACCAGCGGTTCCACGGGAGAAAGATGAAGCTTTCTACTCCCATGAAGATTTATAGCCTCGGAAACCCTACGCAGAGTCGCAATGAGTCTGAACCAACTCCACGGCACATAACCACCAACCAGCCAACCAACCAGTGCTTCAAGAGTTCCACTTTGAGACCACCCTAGAGACACATGAGGAAAGAGTTATGAAAGCTTTCTTTGCACTGGCGTATCAATGTGCTATGTTTTCTCTCTGGTACTACCAGATCTCAGTGTCATGTGGAGAACAGAGTGATGCCTCCTGACCACCTGATCTTCCCCCCATGTGATTTATAAGCTCTGGTTAAATCCATTGAAGGGATGCCGTTGGAAGCCTTTTTGTTCTCAAATGTTCATTGAAGTAAATATTTGTTGATGTTGTTAAGTGCTGGTTCTGAGTCATAGTGATTCTGTGTGCAACAGAACAAAACACGACCTAGCCCTGCGACATCCTCACAAGTGTTATGTTTGACCTCATTGTTGCAGTCACTGTGTCAACGCATCTTCTTCAAGTAGGATGTCCTTTTCTTGATAGTTTTTGTTGTTGCTAACTGCTGTTGAATCGGTTTCACCTCATAGCGACCCTGTGCAGGGTTTCCACAGAGTAGCTGGTGGGTTTGAACTGCTGACCTTGTGGTTCAAAGTCCAGTGCTGATCCTACAGCGCCATGGTTCCTTGAATTTACTGGATATGGATTTTCTATCCAGTGTCTTCTGAATTCCCACCAAGCGATTGGGTTTTTGTTGTTAGTGTCGTCAAGTTGATTCTTACTCATGGTAGTGGTTATATGCTGTGGAGTCAGTGCCGACTCATCGTGACACCCATGCAAATAAGGTATATAGGCACTGGGCTGCAAACCATAAGATCGATGGTTAAGGTTTGGGTGAGTTTTGCCCTCCAGCTCGGTTTAAAGGAGCCAGCTCAGAAGCAGGGAAAAAAGATCCCAGGACCATTGAGAAGGAGGAGCGTGAGATCCCTTCCTAGAAACCAGTGACAGCGGAGCAGACTGCAGAGGTAGTGGCACTGAGAGATGGAGGAGCATTGGGGTCTAGACCCGTGGACTGAAGCAGAGGCCAAAGGGCCACATGGCTGAGAGGCTAACACAAGAGTGAGGGGGCCCTGCTGTATGACAGACGTTCCTGATTGGACAACTGCTGTGTTGTGAGCTGGTTTTGATCCTGAATCGTACCCTGTTCACTTCCTCACTAAACACCATAATCCTGACTATTGTGAGTTCTGTGTGGCTATTGCAATGGATTATCGAACCCAGATGTGAATTAGAAAGTGCTGTGGGAGGGGTGGTTGGTGTCAAAATAGGTTCAAGAAGGTTGTAGGGTGGAAGCAAGTCTGACCTCCACTTCCTAGGAATCGGCCTTGGGCTGATTTTGAAGTTGATTCTGTTTCCCCCTTATGAAGCCAGGGGAAGTCAGACATGGTCCCCACATGGATTTTATAAAATATGAGAAATGTCTTGTCACCCTCACTTCCAAGGAGCATTCTGGCTGTACTTCTTCCAAGACAGATTTGGTTGTTATTCTTTGCCAAATAATCATAATTCAAATGCATCCATTCTTCTCAAATCATCCATATTCGTTGTCCAACTTACACATGCATATAAGGCAATTGAAAATACCATGGCTTAGGGCAGACACACTCTGGTCCTCAAACTGACAACTTTGCTCTTGGACACATTAAAGAGGTCTTTTGCAGCAGATTTTTGTAATGTAATATGTCATTTGATTTCCTGACTGCTGCTCCCATGAGTGTTGATTATGGTTCCAAGTAAAATGAAATCTTTGACAATTTCAGTCTTTTCACTGGTTATCTCATGATGTTATTTATTGCTCCAGTTGTGAGGATTTGTTTTCCTTTACATTGAGGTACAGCCCACGCTGAAGACTGTAGTTTATGTTCTCGCAGCACTTTTGGGTGCAAGAAATAGGACATCGAGGTCCATCTGGCTCTCACATCAAGGATGTTTTCAGTCTAGAAGGGGAGACAAATAATAAACAAAGAGTGAGACAAGCATCGTTCCATGACTGTTGTGGTGTGCCCTGGTACCACAGTAGCTAAGCCCTTGACTAGTAACTGAAAGGTTGGTGGTTCCACCCTGCCAGATGCTACATGGGAGAAGGATGTAGGTTGGCTTCTGTAAGGATCATCACCTTGAAAATTCTCTGGGGAGAATTTTCTGTAGGGGGCTCTGAGTTGAAATCAACTTGATGGTGTCAGGTGATGTATGCTTCAAAGGGAATGTCAAGCGTGCAGAGAGGATTAATAATAGAGGGTCATGTGACATGCTGGGAGACTTAGACTCTTTCCTAAGGTAGTGATAGTTCATGTATGATGAAAGTCAAATATCACTTCTCTATGTGACTTTTGCATGAAACGAAAGCGTCTTTGCTCTGATGGTTTTAATGTCAGAGTTTCAGAATGCCTTGATTAATCCCAAGACTTAATTTTGAGAAACTTAGGCTAGAGAAGAGTTCTCATAAAGTACTTTACTATACTGAAAGTTCAAATATAGAGAGTAGTTGAGTAATCTAGGTTAGTTGGTGATTCGTTCTTTGAGTACCTACTGTGATCATCAGCCATGTTAGTTGATTAAGAACATATTCATTCCTGTTACTCTGCTTCTTACACTACTCCACTAGTGAAACATGGCCAATAAGACTTCGTATGATGTCCTGATTAAACACAATGACAATACAGTGATTTCAAGTAAACGTATAGTCCTCATCCTGTGGGCTTTAGATGAAAGCTTAGATTGGTGAGGGAGGGGTCAGTAATAATTTGTTAGTTCAGAGAATCCTTAAATTCATTGTCTGCCATGTATATTTTTACCTAAGAGATGATAAAAATCCAACCACTAGCATCAATAGGGTGGTCTTGCAATTTTTAAAAACCTTAATCGTCATGA